AGTAGAACATAGAACAACAACATCTACATACACTCCGAGAAGAAAAACAGGATGCAGAACTGGTAAAAATGGTCGATTTATGTAGGATTTGGTGTTTCCCTTCAGATCCAAGTTTGTTTTTGGATTACCGGTCCCTGGTGTAGTAGGATTTTGGCTACAGGACGAGTAATAGGAGTAAGGCTGGTGTCAGAGTCCGCGATCCGTCGCGCGATTCGCGCGAATCGCAAAAATCGCAAGTGCCCCATTTGAACATTTGAAACACTGAATATGAAACAAGTAGAATCATGAACAGTCGTCATTCAGCCATCACCATCAAGCAGAAATGGCGGCGGGATTGGAGAGCACCTTGCAGTATTGATCGGGCACTTGTGATTTCTGTGATCCGTCGCGCGAATCGCGCGAAACCTGCGACGGATCGCGGACTCTGACACCAGCCTAAATTACCCAAGTTATTTCTTCTGCGTCACAGTGGTCTGCGTTAAGCTTCTCTGGAACTTGGCCAACACTCCACATTGGTGACTTTCCTGATGGTGAGTGGCACAATACCATTGATGAGTCATGTGGGTGAGAGCCTTGTTTTTGATTTGATTGACTTTTTTGTTCCGAAATTGCTTTATTGATTTCTAGAGCCAAAAGTACATCTTCATATTTGTTTTACGAAGGATCAAGCATTCGGCGCTGACCAATCCCGTTTTGGGAATGCGGCACGCATTCTACTTCCATTTGTACATTCGTAGTGGCATTTGAATGCGATGTGGCCTATACAATGACTTGCGGGGGCCAGCCGATGTACAAGTCAGTGTTTTTATCCTCCCAGACAAGTCTGGTACCAATTAACCGACCCCGGAGGGATGGACCACGGACCGCGCACGTGGTAAGCAGCGCCACTTGCCACTACACCACCAGCGCCCTTGAAATAAGATTCTTAATCGACTAATAAGTAGTGATGAAACAGAGAGAGCAAAAGATACTCGCAACATGACAATTGTAATTTATTAGCAAGACATTCAGCACTGATAGCCCGCTTTTGGATACGCTGTGCATTTGAATACATCCAAAATTGTATTGACATGGCAATGCGATATGTTTATTCGCCCATGCGAGCGCGGAATCGATTAATGCATCCAGGAAAATACAAGACTTCTGGGCTCACACGGGAATTGATTTGCGGTTTGATTCCAGTACTATGAATGTTGTGAAAATGACACAACCCTTTTCTCTCCCATCTCCACCTCATAGGCTCTGCTCTCAACTTATTACGTCCGTGCCCAATTTTATTCTCGAAACATCTCCTGGAGAGTGAAACCTAGCAATTTCGTGACTATGAGGGTTCATATTAGGTTGTCCCATAAGTTCGTGCCACTTTTTTGCACCTCATGCCAGAACTTCGTTTAGGAATTTGTGAAATGAAAAAGTAGCCTAAGAGCCCACTCCGTGAAATGACCGAATAATGGCCGTCCTAGCTGCTTTCTTCGGAACCGTAATCGAAAAAATAAGGAGCCATGCATTTCATTATACGAGCCATGTTTTCTGAATATAGCTGCAGCCAACAGTCGGTCACCGAAGTAGGGGTAGTTTTTGGAATCAACTGTACTCTTGACGATTTAACTCATCATTCTTTAACGCACTTCCTTGAATGCTTTTTTGTACGAAATGATCATTCGGCATAGTACGAACTGTTGCGTAGATGTTTGAATCGTTTCAACAAACTATCGAGCTGGAATACTCTTGAGAGAAAGGAAACAATCCATGAAGCGCCGTGATATCCAAATAAGTATTGACCGCTCCCTGATGAAACATCATGAACCACCACTCTAACTGAAGATATGGTTGGACGGATTTTTGTAAAAAAAATTTCAAAGATTGAGAACTTAATGGGTAGAGGTGTTTAATCTTTAATTTTTTAGAAATTCGTGCAAAACTGAGTTGCCTTTCCGGTAAGGCCTATGAGATTACAGGCAGGCATGCAATGAAGACCGCATAATCTCTATTGATGTGAATAGAAAGTCCGAACTGCCGCCAGGAAGGAAGATTCGAGTGCGCGGTGGGCAATGCTTTTGGTCGCTCATTAGTGTGGCCTTGCCAGGCTGGTGCGAGAATGTCCTGTTATTTGCGTAGCGCCTTTCAATATCTATGATGGTACCCAAGATCGATTACCGAAGCTTACAGGCTTCATTTTATTAATTTGATCATTCTTCAGGTGTAAGTAGTGGAGTTTCGTATTTGGGTCAATAATTCATTCACTCATTCATACATTCACATTAATTCACAATCTCGGAGGCTTAATTACCATGCACTTTCTGTTTCCTCCCACCGAAATCCTTTCAGAAAAAAAATGACACATTGAAAATCGGCCACCTACCTTCCGGTACCAAACGATTGCTTTTATCGGTATTCTTCACAGCTACTATTCAAAGGAACACGAAAATGTCCTCAATCAAAACATGCCCCTTCAAAAGTGCGTCAGTTCTACGTCAGAGAAACGCAATTATACCACTAAGGGCAGCAAATTCTGGGAAAGGTTTAACGCTCTTCTGGGTAATCGCACAAAAAAACAGAGAAATGGCACATATGGCGCCCAAAACTTACATTATTTTTGATGGCCAGGACACAAAACGCATAAGGCTTGTGTGCTGTCAGATGAGGAACTTCGAGATGTCGCGACGTGGGACTCATCACAGTACGGGCCGTCCATCTCTCAGTATCTGAACGTCCTCCTGGCTCATGCATGTACTTCACTACAAATCCATCAACCTGAAATCGATTTTTGAGGTATTGCTTGGGAACCCAAAGGAAATATATAGACAACGGTTGAGCCTATTCCTAGAAAGGACCCTTTCAAAGAGTTCAATTCATTGATGTAAAACTGCTTATAACAGCATCGAGTTAAACGACGGGGTTTTTCAATTAAACTGGAATAAAATAAAATATACACTTCAAATCAGAAAACAATAATCACCTGTCCATTTTCAAAGTCCCACTGTACCACAGCCGAGCTATTTGATGTAGCCTCTACACGAACATTTGTTGGGGGACCGACGAGAGCTAAAATAATCACAAATAACAATAAAACCCTCAAACGGAGCTCAAATTTGACCCTTTAAATTTCTAATTAAACTCTTAAATAATTGCCTGGTCCTAGAAGTGAGTGTATAACAGCCGAGAAAATGCTTTCACGATTAGAAATTGGCGTTCGACGATCAGCGAGCATCGAATGTGCCCGGCTACTTTTCTTCTTTTGTTTCGTTAAAGAGGCGACATCATTGAGGAGGGAAAGGTCAACGTCAGTACTCGTTTCGGCCTCAATTCGATCGCCACTTTCGCCAATAAGCACATTATCTCGCATGAAATCTCCTTCGAAGAACGGCAAAAGCTGTCTCGAACGAGTTCTGCTCTTCTTCGTGACATTCCGAGTCTCAGAGCAATCTGGCGAGCTCTCCGTTGAGCACGGAGTGACGCTATAGGAGATGTCTGTTAATGTTATCAGCAGATCGATTAAGAATAACTGTGGATGCATGCCTCAGACGACGTTCATAAGCATATTGAAGAGAGAAAGACAATTCGAATGCAGGGCAGACACATATATATCTAGGGCATAGCTATAGTCTCAATAGCATGGATAATAGCTGGCCGAACGGAAACCACGTGAAGGTGCTTGGGAGCGCTGAAACTGAAATAGCTGCCCCCATAAGGGTAGATAGCAACAGCAGTCTGAGCTGTTCAGACTAAGCAGGCTAGCCAGTCACACAGATTAAGTAATATTGACTCTGGACCCGCTTTTTAATGACCACATCTGTCGAGGTGAACGCGCCGAGTTTCGAGGACATCGCGCTTGACTAGCTGTCATTTTGAGTGCTTACGAGCAATGCATCAGCATTCTGAATCACTACGTTTACGTCAAGAGAACTATAGAACAACAGACAAACTAAACGCCTACTTGAAATCTTCGAAAGAAACCAGGCAGTAGACGAAAAGGGCAATGTGACGTCAATAACCATAGGACGTTCGGTGGACGTGGTTGACGGTAGCACATTATGCGAATTACTATTATGTGGCAGTGAAATACCCCTCATAATGGGGATATCTAAAGGTCCAGGTGCTTTGTTGATAATCGCATCAAACACGTCAGCGCTGGAGATGGCGCCTTCCGCCGTTGACATTGTCGAGATGTCGTTCTTGCCACTGCTGGCCACTGTGACTTCGTCCAAAATGATCGAGGAGTGCGCTGAAGCGAGCGACTTTTCTAAATTGCAATTTACGAGCCACTAATGAGAGTTGGACAAACAGACACACACACGCCACCCATTGAACCAGGATAACGGGTGATGAGTGCGTGTAGGTCCAACCTCTCTGAAAGCCCTACAAACGTGCCTTGAGAAGACGCTGCAGCGCTTCAACCGGCTACTTCGAAGTTTTTGAAAACGTTGTTTCTGTTGTTTCTGCTTTTCGGCGACCGACTGCGGGCGGGCCCTGATTTGGCGACGTGTCCTTGTCAGTGAATGAATGCTCATGAATAGTTAACTAGTGAGAAAAAACAGCAGCGACGTCGGCAAGCAGGAGTGACCAATGTGTTTTCATCAGAGAGATGACACTCGATTTCACGACATTGTCTGCGTAGGAAATGCTAGGCGGGACGGGTGAGCAACGAAAATTAGATGGGAGGCCTCAATTCCGGGCAATGGACTCAGAATTAATCCAATTCACTAATGTACGAGGACACACTGGGGCACAAGCAGCAACAACAGACAGCAGTGCCGAAACTGAGAGAGTACCGACTGTCGAATGCATTTGAGGGTTGGCCAAGACAAAGTCACCAATCATCATCCACCGAAAAAAAACAACAACAAACGACAAAGATTACATCTGGTGGAACCAGCCGTCATGTAAAGCACATTTAGCCTCGGAAAATGATGTTATGAGAAACATGCTGTTGATGGATCGCCCGAACAAAGCCTAGGTAAAACCTGTGCCAGGTGCTAGTTGGGTAAAGCTGTTCCAATCTGAGAAAAAAATTGCTACGCAAATGCATTACACAGAGAACGCCTAAAGAAGCTGCCGAAACAATAATAAACATAAAAGGGACAGGGTTAATGGAACACATTTGGTGTTTTACGAGCTCACCTGACATAAAACTGCATATTTTGTTGGTAACGTTGTCGAATTTTGACCAGGCTTGTTTTACACCATCTGTATTCGACACGTGATATTTCCAACCGGATGCAATATAGTTTAGAAGTCCTTCGAGATTATTTATAATGCCATCTTTACAAATCACTGGCGAAATGTGTCCATCAAGTGGATCTCGTGTTGTGGTGACGTCACCACCGTCATCATTTTCATCCACAGTTCCTTCTCCAGACGTGGAATCGAACATGACACGAATAGTCCAGGTGATTAAGCAGTATAATTGAGCCGCATCGTTTTCGACTCCTCTTTCCGGAGACGATGCTTACGTTACTGAACAGTGAGGAAAAATATCAATACTTCACGGATAGTAGTAACTCGCAAGCGAATGAAGAAAGAGTGAACTGAAGCAAACGGAATAGGAGGAGAGATAATGGTGCGACTGCATCCGTTCACCTATGAAAAGCCTATTCACGGTATAATGACTGAATACAACTAATCGCAGTCAACTCTCGCACCACACACACACCTAGGTGTCGCCATACCAACACACGGACTATTAAAGCCCGTATAGACACCCCCTACTGGGTGAGGCCCACCGTGAAAAAAGTGCTATGTAAAATTAACTGCTCAAAAATTACAGAGAAGCCTTTCATAAGTGGTTCCTTGAGGCAGACCTGTGAAGATATTGACTTCCTTGTACGGAAAATACGCCCTAATGGGAAAGGCCTATTTTGGGGGAAAAAACCACATTTCTACGAAAACTGCTCGCAAATAATAGAGTAGATATAATTTATGGAGGTAGTTATAGTTATGGAGCAGAAACAAGAGCAATAGACTTCCCTATACCCAACCCACAGTCAATTTAATGATACTCAAGGCAAGACAGAAGGCAAGGCAAGGTAATTGTTCTGAAAAATTTCAAAAATGTGTTGGAAATATCTTTTTCCATGCGGAAACCATCAGCCAAACGGACGCACAAGGGTTTCCGTGAGCCTCGACGTTACAAGAAAAATCTGGTAGGCCCAAAGAAAAAGAATACAATTGTAGATATTTGCTTCCCACTGTATGAAAAGGCAGCAGTGCTTCTTGAGATCGAAAAGGGCATTTCTGGCGTTTCGGCTCTCGTCAACCACTAGAACAAACTGCAAACATCCGCTAGGATCGAATTTCCAATAAGAGGAACGTGATATTGACGAGCCACTTCAATGAGCGGACACTGCTCACAGCTTGGGAAAAAAAAGTCAGCTGCTGACTTCTTAGCTACTTTTTTAGCTGGTAAAGCCGACGTTGTTGGCGCTGTTAGGAAGCCCCGTGGCGCAGGTGAGAGACGCGACATTAATCTCGCAAATCAATCCCACTAAGTATCAGCGGCTTCGTTGCTAATAGACTCCGTATATCATAATCGCTCAGGATCTATTCGCATACTAATGGAAAACGGTGGCAAGAGCAATGCGATCAGCGTAAAGAGGTTTCCTAACGAAAAAGGAAAGGAACTGAGAGAGAGGCCATTAAGAAAACATTGCCGATATCCCGTCACATTGCTATTTAATCAAGTAATGTGCCAAACACGCCACGTTTGCTGATGTGACGCATGGCTTCGAAAACTGCGAACTAAGCGCGCCAGAACTAGCACCGGTGCTAATTTCGGGCACGAGGGCTGTGGACGAGGCGTTAAATCTCAGCGAAATGCTGCGCTCACATTAAGGCTGGGTGACGTGACGGGCTAAGGCTCTCTAATGTGACGCATATTAGACTGTATAAAAACAACTAAGGATATGGGCAAATAGGGAGATGAGCACCACGAGCTAGCCAATGAGCAGCGCTTATTAGCATCAATCGAGTGGACGCTCGTGCCGCTTTCGCGCGGACGAGTAAGTCACCAAAATACATCCCAGAGAGCCGCACGTAAAAACCGCTAGCAAAAGCGGGCAACCAAGGGCAATAAAATATAGTGAATGTCCGCGTATGCATTTGTTTCGCACACACACCCAGATACATCGGAATTGAATGCCATAATGCAGACTGAAACAGCGGATGAAGGCGAAATCAGGTCTGGAGGGATGGTGGGAATCCATCGGCTCTAAAGGAGAGGCTCCTGAACCATTACCAACTAGAGTTACATGATGCACTGGACGCGGGTGTGTGCACTCTCAGGCACATAATGATAATAAGTAGATGGAGGAAGAGAGCTGTTTTTTCCACGCGGACTGCGACATTAATTTTCGAACATGGACAGCGAATTCATATCTCATAAATGCAGCTATTAATTAGAATTCCATGCTCGTTAATGGTAATAGAGACAGTGCCCATAATCCAGTGTTAAATGCACTTCAGTGTGACGTTGACATATCCGGCGCAGAAGGGAACGTTATAACGGCTTAACCTGGGCGGCATTCAAAGAATCAACAAGTCATATGTAACAGCGGGTTTTCTATCGATCGACAGCGCTACACAAAGTGGCTTTTACGGGGAAAAAAGTCCAGAGAAAGCTTGGCGACGAATACCACACGATTCTATGGCTACATATGTACTCCTCTAATCGCCCGCCACTCTACACTTCAAGCGACAAAGGGCAACTTTTCAACCTTGAGCACAACAGGGCAATTCGCAGTTTCTCGAAAACCACATTGACTTCCGCAGAAAAAAAAGTCAGGTGGAATTCAGCAAGGAAATTCGTGGATACTGGGGTAAAAAAGAGCCAGCGGACCATCGTATTTGCCCTTGTATGCGTTAGTAGATGATGATGGCAGAAATTAAGAGTGTCATAAAGTATGTGGTCGCCAGCGAGCCAGAGAAGAGCCGTTGCCGAGTTTGCTCGGCCATAGCAATGTGATTTGCAATTAAGGCAGCCAACATGCGCAGGCAGGTGGAAAGTCGCGCTCAAGCACCTAGTTTTTCACTTCACTTCATAGGAAGTTTGCTTAATTGCAGCTGGAAAAAAATCACTGGCTTCTAGAAGTCTATCGTATACTAAGTGAACGAATTCTAAGAAAACGGAAACAAACCAGCGGGATCAGGATTGATGGTGAGCACCGGCGAAAACGGACCAGATCCCTTCATTGTCGCCGCAGCTACCTTGAAGGTGTACGCCTTACGGACGTCGACTGCAAACGTAGCCGAGCTTGAGCCGTCTTTCACCTGAAATCAGCAGCATTTGGAATTCAATAGAGCTTAATATGAAGCGTTCGCTAAGGCTTTTGAGAAAAACGCACGGCAGCGATTCAAATATTATTTTGCAGAATTCTATTTCAGAAAAAAACATTCTAGTTGAGCAAATCATCTGAAAGGAAAGCGAATCAAGCAGGATTGCTCCCAAACCAGCTCAAAAATTGCACTCAATTACCAATCCCATTCAAGTGGTTTCAACTGAATTCTGGACTGCTGAAAAAAAAAGCAATTGCACAAAAAATCACTTGACTTATCGAGCTCCTAGTTAGGCCCCCCCTCCTGCGCGGAGAATGGGCCAACACGTCGAAACCATTTATGATCAATCAAACTTCCTTTAAAACGAATAAATTTACCAACACGTTTTGACACAAGGCGGACGCAGCTTGCTCTTTTTTTTTTCCCATGAACGATATTTTCGTCTGATGCAATAGGTGAAAATAAGTAACAGCAGTTGAAACTTGGCCACAGTTCAGACAGAAAGCCTCCACATTATTTCACTGATTTGAAGCTTCATTTAGAAATTTCTTCGCTGTTAGGGTAGGCGAGGGCGAAAAGGGGCGAGCGAGGTGGGACGTCGTATAACACGCATTGAAAAACAAGGGAAGACCTTTTATGTTCGAACCCCAGAAACGTTTATCAAAATTCGACAACGGTCCTAAAATAAATGTTCAATTCTATGGTTTTCGAACCAGGGGGCGCAGAGCGAAGACCAGCATTGTTTCAAACAATAAACAGACAAACTTCACTCCATAGATGCTGCAGAAAGGCAACCACAGAAATGAAGCTGGTAACGATCTTAGCTTATTTAGAGCTTTATTAAATATTCGACGCCAGCATACGTGGTTATGAAGTTTCGAAATTAATCGAAAAGAAGATTAACTGCCAATGGAAACGGTATCTTTTGCTGCGTTCCAGCTTTCAGCATGACTCCTTGAAGCAACAACCCCAGATGATGCGTGTCAAACAATTTATTCTGTGGAGAGGATAGAAGTTAAGCATGTTGTGCCATTGCACATCTCGATTATATAGCGCTACCAATTTGGCCGCTAGCCTTATTATAGCAAGAAAAGGAATAGAGCTGCTGAACGAGATTCTTTTGGCGCGAATACCCCATGACACTCAACATGGATTACACGCGCATAGCGAGGTAATGTCTAAACTAACGCACAGTTTAGTGGTAACACGAAGGCGGATCAAGTCGAGAAAACGCCGTCGGACACGCCGCTTTACTCATGTTTTAGCAGAGACGAAAGAGTCCTTGTTAAGGCTGTGTCGGTAAGTTTGTTTGCTTTTTTTTTTGGTCGTTTTGTATCACACGTTTCATGTAACCGCCGTCCGACATCGTGGTCCCACCAATGCAGATCTGGGTTGTTTGCTCGAAGAGGGTTCGTGATCGTTGTGGGACATTGGGTAAAACAAAAGCTTGATTGACAACGAATCGGCGTGATGCAAACTAAAACCCTCCTCCCCTGCCCCCCCCCCGTCCATCCTTCGCAGGCACGTTCATTCTTCGCTGGAGTTATCTCCAGGACGGGATTTAAGCTTTCACGCCATACAGCGTGAGCGTCTTATGCTTCTGATTCGGCTATTAAGCTATGTACAGTATTGAAAGCAATATGTCAGCGGCCAGACTATGAATACGAAAAACTTCCACAACGAAACGCCGCATCATCTGCACGCACCGTTGTCAGAATGAGCGCACCAGAGGATGCACCGGGGCACTACCATCAACCATTGAGGCAAACCAGGTAGATCAGAGCAAAAATATAATCAACCGACTGTAAGCTCGAGCAGATCAGCCACAACTGGCTCAACTAAATTACAAAATGGCCACCGATCTTTTCAGTGGGACTACGGCGTATGGGGAGAACTCGAGCAGAATGCACGCGGCAACACCCCAGGGCATTTAGCACGGCCTGTGGTGAGTGGAGGAGAACCTTCTTTCACGACCACGAAAACCTCGGAGAAGTAAGTGAAAGCCTAATCCTCCGGCTCTCCTCAAAGCGCAAAGGAAAAACTATCAAAAAACTCGGCAGAGCTGGGGTTTTCGAGAAGTAAACCTCTCGTCAAAGAAAAATA